TAATATCTGTATTATTTAATTTTTTTCTTATATAACAAATAATACTAAATTCTGGTGAATGTTTTATGTTTAACAGACAGAGAAAGAGAAGAAGTTAAACCCCTTAGACATACCAGTAAAGAATTGGCCCTTTTCTTCTTAATAACAAGGCAACCAGCTCTGATTATGTTGTTTTTGTGATATCTCCATTCGAGTTTGTATGACATGCAAGATAAAAATTTAAACCTTGAGACATGAAGAATAAGCTCTTTTATTTTAAATTGACGGAAAAATAATACTGACCACAATGTTGTCTTATATATTCTTATGAAATACAAGACAATTAAATGAGATATCTGGTTAGTAGCATTGGGGAAAGATTTACCAATTTTTTTTTTTAATCTTTCAGACATTTGGGCTATAGGCTGTATATTTGCAGAGCTGCTGACCTCAGAACCTATCTTTCACTGTAGACAGGAGGACATCAAAACCAGTAATCCATATCATCATGACCAGCTTGATAGGATATTCAATGTGATGGGATTTCCACAAGGTTTTTTTTTTCAGTTCCTTTATATGATGTATCTCCTTATTTTTTATTCAATTTTTAGAGCATTAGCTGTATGACTAATCGGCCAATTATCATTCTCTCAAATATGCCTGCATTTAGATGGATTTTTTTATATGAATTCATGATTTATTTTTTCCATTTTTCCAATGTTTGTAATAAAGATCTCATAAACCTGATTTTTTCCAAATGAAAAAGATAAATGTTGTATATTGTTTTTGTTGAAGACAAAGACTGGGAAGACATCAAAAAGATGCCTGAACACCCAACATTAATGAAGGATTTCAAGAAGTCCAGTTACGTAAATTGTACATTGACAAAGTACATGGAAAAACACAAGGTGCACCCAGACAGCAAAGCATTCCGTCTTGTAAGTTTAGTTTATTGTGAAGTGGCACTTGGATATAGGCAACAACAAAAAAACATACACATATGCCTTTTCAAATGTGAATATTTGGTTCACTTTTTAAACTTGATTCCAATTGTAAAAGCACTATTACAGTTGACTTTTCACCCTGATTGCACTAATTATCAACAAAGTCAAGGCAAAGAAATCGGCAGGCCAAGTTTACAAATCACTTGCCACCACATCTGGCTCAAGTGAGTCTGTGTTACAAGATAAATTACAGAGAGAAAGGGTGCTCTTATCATTAAAAAATTGTATAATGTAGATATATAAATCTCCTGGGACAAATGAACTTGTTCAAATCTTTAAGATTTATTTGCATTTATTGTGGCAGAATTAATGTTAACAAGAAAGTAAGATAGCAAGATTCAATTTTATTCTTTTAGAATATAGGTACTGTTTGGTTTGGGATATCAGTTTGAACCTGTTGTTATTTTTAAGTGCATTTTTTCTTCTTTCACCACCCCTGCACAGCTCCAAAAACTTCTTACAATGGACCCTACTAAAAGAATAACATCAGAACAGGCAATGCAGGATGCTTACTTTATGGAAGACCCCTCACCATGTCCTGAGTAAGATATGAATCTCTCAGAGATTTTTAAAAATTTAAGGCTATGAAAAAGTCATGTATTATCATAGTTAAGTAATAAGCATTTGTAACAAGCATTTCAATGTACTTAAACGAACCAACTGATTGTATTTTTAAAAAAACATCATATTTTATCAACTTTTTGTGAATTAATCGGTGAATATAGTTCAATGTCATGGTGGTTTAAATACTATTTTTGAATGGTGTCACAATTATCTTTCAGTGTGTTTGAAGGTTTACCAATTCCTTATCCAAAGAGAGAATTTATAACAGATGATGAACCTACAAATGACAATGAAAAATCTGATAATGCAAGCAAGGTATTGGATCTCTAAGACGCCTTTTATCTCTAATTCATTTGTCTAGCATGGCATCTAAAAGGGGGAGGGTATATCTTTGTGTGTTTTAATGCCTTCACATAGGAGGATGTCCCTTTGTTTACAAATCAAAGCATGTTATTTCACATCATTCTAGGTATGTTATATACAGTGAAGAAAATTGGAATATTAATACCATGATGTGCNTTTCTGGAAGTTTTACATTTTCAAAGGGTGAACTTGAACTCCCATGGGCCTGAAGCCTTATGTTTGTTACACATTTTACTTACATTGGTATTACCTGTTGAGCATAATTAGAATTTGATGTTGAATTTGCAGTTTAACATAATGTACTTTTGCATCAGAATTGACAGTAGCCTATTTTGTTATTTTTTAAAATAAGTCCTATTCTCCTTGACAGGCCACAGGGGGAAATGACCAGTCGTCCAGTCACGGCCAGCCACCTGCTAAACGTGTTCGGGTCATGCAGCCCAATACAAATAATGGAACAATGGTATCTAATGAGTATCAGGTAGATCTGTTCATTAAAACTGGAAATACTCCCAGCATGATAGTGGTGTTGTCTAGTACAGCTTTTGTCATCATTTACATGACAGTTTGTTCCTTGTCAGTGATTTATACAAAAATACCAATGAAAGCTTACGGAATCTTCTAGCAGGCTGGCAAAAATGCTTTGAAATCGCTTAAAAAGATGATCATTTAAATTTTGCATATGTTTAATTTCTTAATTCAAAATTTTAAAACTGACAACCACAAATGACTGAAACCAGTTCAAGTGAGTAGTTTGTACTTGATGTGTTCTCTAGCTGATGTACTTTCTAGCATGTAAACACTGAGTACATGTTCTTTCGTATGTTCAGTAGCAGTGCCTTACTGTATATCTTCAATGTATTAAGGTCAAAATTGAGAGTAAAATTAGGAGATCATGTGGAGGATTATAGTGTATCTATTTTAATTTATGTTCTACTTCTACATTTTCAAAGGAGTGTATCATAAAGCATATTTCTGAGTTCCATTCAGCAGTGAATGGAGGTTTTTCAGTATTACTTTCAAATGTTTCTTTTTATACATTCATTATTTTTGGGGTCTAAAATTTGAAAAACTTAATTGTTGTATTAAAAAACAGATTTTTCTTCTGTTCTTATTCAATATTTTTATTTACAGAGAAATGTTCATGGAATGCCAGGAAACCAAGGCCAACAGCATTCATATTCCTCAACACAAAGCACTCAGGGAACTAATTCCACAGTATATGGGCAGACAAGATTTTAATACAAATTTGACAGTTTTTTAAGGATTGATAATCCCAAGATTGCATTTAATAACTTATCTAGAAGACATGTTTGCAACATGCATTAACAAACATTGCCTTATGGAAGAAATCATAATGGGAGTCTCATTTTGTTTGTAGTAATGGTATGCTTCGTTTAAGAAATCAGTAAATACTTCAGTTCAGAAAGGCATTAGTTTTTGAGGCTAATATGACAGATGCTGGTTGCTACATTGGATGTTGAACAGACTGTTACAAAGATAAATATGTCACTAATCATGATCAGAATCAAGTACCATATTTAATTGCTATTTGATTTTTTTAATGTGGATAGGTGTAAACAAATTCCTTCAGGTTTTCAGGAAATAAATTAATAGAAAATGCAGTTACTTTTCATTTTAAGTGCATAAAATCAAGATATAAACTAATTTTTCAGTTTCAATTCTTTATTTACCTTTAGAAATGTATTCTTGATTTTGAAAATGAATTCTTATCATTCATTCTAATAATGTTAGTTGCTATTTTGAATCGAGTCTTGACATTTATCAATTTGTCCAATGTCATTTGAACTTCAATGAAGTCTCTTATATCTACATGAGGCAATACAAAACTAAATCACAATTTACATTTAAACAAAATCTGGTATTTCCAAAAATAATACAATTGAATTGTTTTAGAACAAATTGTGTTGTGATTTCCGCAATGCCCTGGCAACAGCTTGAAGATTCCATCCATTTTACTGATACTTAGACACGATTCATTTCAGTATATTGGAATTCTAATACGACAGCTGTTAAGGAGCAGTGAAAAAGTATCTGACATTCATATCTCATACAACAACACTACTATCTGCAATGGCCAGAAGATATGCTTACATTGCACTGCAACTAGGACAGTTACAGTTTCAACTAAAGAGACCATTTTTTAAATCTTCAACTTAGTATTTTGGCCCTTTACCCTGAACTATACTGAATCATGCAATCATTCCTGTTGCCAACGTATCTATAGACTTCCTGCAGATCTTTTTTTTTTTTTTCTTTGTTTATTCAATCCTACAAAAGGGTATCAGCTGACCTACTGTTCACTGGCATAAAAACTGAAACTAAATGCAATTGAGACAAAAGCATCAAGAACAATACTTTTATCCACTTCATATCCAGTCGTTGGCTGATGCTTGGAGTGGTTGAAAATTGTATTATTTTAGGGAATTTGCTGAGTTCTTTCTTGCTAGTTCCTTTGATTTTTTCTCTCTCCATTCACAAACTTCTGCAAATTCACAAGACTGGCACTTGAAGGCTTCTTCAATATCTACTCCTTCAACTGGCCTTTCCCCTTTCCAATACTTCATGTAATGATCACATGTCTCCTTTAACCACTCTTCATTGTACTTCACCTCTGTTATACCAATAGTGGAATTGTCTTCTTGAAAGCAGTATTCGAGAAGCAACTGGTTTATGCAGGTAAGGCTCTTCATTTTCTCAAATACACAGTCCATAAGTTCTGATAAATTAAGACAAGATAACCCATGTTCTGTAATACTGTTATTAATGTCTTCTCCAAAGTTTTTGTCCAGTTCAAGACGCAAATGCTGTGCCACAGAATATTTTGTAATTTGACCTTTTACCAAATCGTCAAATAGCTTCTTGTAAAGCATGACTTGTAAAGAGTGAGATTTGCTCTGAGCTTTTGATGGCAATGTTCTAGAAGAAGACCGCGTCTTTAATTCCAAGATGTCAAAAGTAAATGTTTCTGGGTCAAACTGTATTTCGTCTATCAATCCTATTACAAAAACATTGTGACTAAATGGAAATCCAAATATGGGTATTTCTCTCCTCATCTTTGTTCCAAGCAGAAAACTGATTACTGGAGAGTAAAGATTGAGTAGTTTTGCTGCCCAGATATCTTCATTGGAAGTAACTTTTATTTTAACCACATCATGATCTGCAAGTTCTGAAAGGAAAAAAGAAGCGGTTATGTGAAAAGGACTGTATATAGTACATGTATGTAATAATTACTAGTAATCAGTAAATATTAGTAAGAGAAAAATTACACAAGAAATTTTCACATAATTATGTGAAGTTTATTTATATAAGAAAACACATGCAATGTTTGAAACATCTGTAGATGGCTTAAAATCCATAAAAGGTTGTGTTGAAATTAATAGGATAACCATATTAAAAAAATTATACTGATCAACTGGCTCAAATTGCACACTAACCTCTTGCAAGATGCAAGTCTGTCCCTTTACTTATTGCTGGTTTTTCCACCTCCACTACTGGCAGAGTGAGGCTGTAATGTAATTTCTGCTCACACCACATCTGTGCCGTTAATGAAGAAACCCACAGGTATCCGCGACCAGGGGAGAAGAGATCCAATGGTCTAGTAGTTGTTTTTAACTTCTTGCTGACTTGTATTACTTCAGGTGGAGCTGCTGAATCATTATCTTGCTCTGAAATGTATCCAAATTCTATTGCATTTATAATGCAGAGTCTAAAATTTCAGACTAATGCATCTGCAGTTGCTGCTAAAATTACTCCGTAATCCCATCAAATTGGCACTAAAGCTAAGATTAATTATTAATCACTGTATTTTCAATGAATTTATGCAAAAAAATATTTAATTTTAATTGTGATTAAAATCTAGTTCTACTGTTTAACATCTATCGACTGGTCGAGACACCAGACAGTCAGGTAGCACGGAATTTAAATGCGTTAGCTTTCCTATCTACTGATTTTGATATGTATTATGTATCAAAAAATTAATAGTACAAATCAGAAACCGTATTTTCTGGGGGCCTTTCAATCACACTGTTGCAAAAACACCACACCTTCATAAGATCTTTTATCAAGCACTATATCTGATAAAACGCCATCATCAATATCTTCCCACAGGCTCTCGATTGACTCTTTGGAATTTTTTTCTTCAAAGTTGGCGCAATTTCTCGACCCAGAGGCTTCCATCGTTGTTGATGAGTGCAGTAGTAATATGATAGGAACTTCGTCCAAGACAGGATATTTTTACTTGATTCGATTAACAATTTTTCTCATGTTTTAATACAGAAAATAACTTGATTTTCAAATGATACCATTTTTTGAGCAACACACTGCATTGCTGCTGATATCTTGGCCAGACATACGAAACAGATGTGTTGACGTTCATTACTCCTGAACCCGAAGCATTAAATGATGTTGTATTCTTACGCCGTAGGAGTGTTGATCAAAAGTTTTAACTTTCCTTAATTACTTCAAAAATGTAGACTAACTTTCTCTCCAGGTCTATTAACATGACTTGGTCCTTTTAACTATAGAAAATTTAATTGTTTTCAAATGCTGAATGGCGCCCAGTCCTGGAACTATATTTTCTATTTTAGTGTACAAATTTTTGTTTATCATAGCAGTGCTGCGTAGTGTTGCATGGATGCAACTCTGCTGCCCATGCACATGTGTATGTTTTTATAGATTAGGCGTGTTTCTGTTCTGTTGTAGAACATGTAGTGGCAATGGATGGTAGGACAAGCACAAAACGCAGTGGAAAGAAAAGAGTGGTGACTGACCGACTGAAGAAGAGCCAAAGGAAACCCAAAAAGCTCTCCGTCAAACCACGATCCACGAATTCTTCCCGTCGAAGTGGACTGGTGTCAGATCCGTCAAGTCCAGATGTCTGCGACTCTGATATCCTGCATGAAGGTAATGATCGCATATGTCGTTAAATATATAGGGTTTTATAGCATCGTGCCTGTTTGATTCTCTCTCTCTCTCTTGCCTGTAATTCTTTCATTAATGATTTAATTCAAAATAAATGCTTATTTTTTAATTATCATAAATCATGCATTCTTAAATTAGTATTTCTAATAATTCATTTCACTAGAAGAACTCTTAGTGACAACAAAACTTCTTTTGTTCATAGAATTCAGTTATAATTTTTTTTTTTTTTTTTTTTGTTCAAAGGAAAGAAAGAATGAAAGAAGGGAAATTTGGGCTCTGTTCTCTCTGACACATTCTTCACATCGTTTTGCATTCCTAGTACTTTTTTGCCATAAAACATTTTTTTTTTAATTTTTGCATTTTTTTTTTTCAATATAAACTTGTTAGGCTATGATGTGATGTGCAATATGTTCCATTTTTTTACACCTGCTGTAGTCACTGTAATAACTTAATAATCCCTGACAGTTAATACTAGAGGTTTAATATTTTTGTGGGAAGGATTCTTAATCCATCCTGATTGTGGTTCAGAAACACTTCGTATTGTAGGAACTTATACTGGATGCATTGTCAGTCTAAGAGAAGGAACTGGTAGTAGGCATTTAATACTTCCCCTATATTCCCAGACTGAATACTGCTGCTTCAAGCATTAAATTGTCCATATTTTAACCTTCAAATGTTTTTCTATGTCTTCATCTTCTTTCAAGGTTTTGTATTCCACCTTCCCAAACTGGCCTTTAGGACAGCTATTTATAAGATTCATGACTGCTCTCTTTGATTAGAATTGTTAAGATTGTAACTTTTAAAAACCATCTAAATGTAAATTTTAAAGAGTATAAAGTAAGCCTAGATTTTGTACCTACTATTTGTGCAATATAAAAAGTGAAATTTTAAATACAGAGAAAAATTGAATTCTACAGCATATGCTTTAAAATTATTTGAAGTAATTTTTTATTCATCAGCACTTCCTTTTAAAATGCAGATACAGGAGAAAAATTTAAAAAAGCACAGCCTGAATTCCATTTGATGGAAATTGTTTATGCCACAAGCAGGTTGAAATAAAGTATTTAGGCCACACCAGTTGGTTGCTAAAACAATTGTTACAACTGTATGGCAATAGTTTAAACTGAGAAAGGTCAGTTGGTTTCATGGTCATAACTGTGTCATTAACAGTTTTAAGTTCTTAATAAAGAGTGTTGCTAAGTCAGTTCTTTGAAAATGCATAGTTGATCGGCAAAGAAATAGTTGTGAGAAACTCAATACAGGGCTGCAAATATTTGCCAAATGACAATACAATATGCTGCTCTTGATTTTAATACCCTTTCTCTCGAGGATCAGGGCATGACTTGTGCAATATGTGCTACATAATATTTTAATAATGCCAACGTTTTCCACCTGCAGTAGAAGCGAAGCCGTTGTTTGGATATGTATTGTGCCTTCAGCGTTAAGTAAAGTTGACAGTGAGGGATATACAACAATGTACATTGTGGGGCTGTTATTCAAAGCTCCAGTGTAACACAGTGAAGGAAAATATTGTTTTGAAAAGCTTTTATGATTTTCTTCATGGTGCTTACAAGACTAGAAATATTAACTTCCATTTAACAACTTTGAGCTTTAGATCGGTAAACTTTGTGAAAGTAATGCGACTGCTAGGGTGGAAAGGGCATCGATGAGAATTCTGACCACTGAAAGAAAACGTTTGATCTTTTTTGTGAAAGGATCCCTCTTGGGAAAAGAGCTGACAGGAGTAAATAATAGACTTTATGAGAAAAGAAGTGATTCCTCCTGGCAACTTCCCTTTTATTGAATTAATGCCTTGTGTAAGTTGCGTTGTATAACATTGCCTACCTTACTATTGATTTAATTCCTTTTTTAGCACATAATGCTTAAGATACGCTTCTAGGCTGTTTGCTCATGTGATATTGCAATTTGTTCATCCTGCATTACTGAAGTCTTAAGCAACATTTAAAAGACAAAGTTAAAGACAGCTGGTTTATATTTAATATATGTATATTGTGACTTTTCAAATTTTGTAAGTGTTGAAAAGTCACAAAAAGATGTTAAAACATTTATTTTGCCTTTTTATTTAGATAAAGTATTGAAAAACAGACTAAACAGTTCTTATCATTATCCAAATGACCTGCAGCCACAAGGTTGACATAATCATCGTTTATAAATGTTCCTTTAATTCACTTCTCTTTGCTTAAGTCTTTACATTAATGTGGGTGATTTATGCTTTTCATGAATAAATCTTTTCTTTTGACTGATGTCCTTATCAATTTTCAAAGGCCTCTTTTTTAGGATCTTTTAGTGCAGATGCATACAGCTCTTAAGCTACAAGTAATTTCACTTAGTTTTGCATTGCGTGTGTAATTTTATCAATGCCATTCCATATCATTAACTACCATTTGAGGCAGCTTCACTTGTTCTTCACGTTTAGATCACTGTAAGGGCTAAGTTTACTGATAATGTTCTGTTGGTGTTGTGAGTGTGATTTTAAATACAAGTTTATGATTCTATCCTTTAGGTGTAGACTCTGACTCTTCAACACAAAGAAACAAAAAGCAAAAACCACCAAGGTTAAAACAGAGCAACAAAAGGTCAAAGAAAAAGTCGCCAGCTGGTCTTTCGGCAGGGTCTCAAACTCGTCTTCCTAGTGCAATCCACAGCGGGGCCCTGGTCAGTATGATATCTAATTCCCACCAAGACATCAGCTCAGATGAACAGAATATTACAGGCAACAGAAATGATATAGACTTTCTGGCACAGTCAGTGTCAAGTGCCTCTTTATCAGTAAGCCGTAGCAGTAGTCGTTCAAATTCAAATAAACGCGAACACTCACCTCCGAAAAATGAGTTGGAGGCACTGATGCTCAGGCAGGATTTCAATGAAAGCATAAGATGGGATTATCAATTAAATGACCCAGAACTTGAAGAAGAAAGAATGAAGTATTATAAAATAAACAGGAGGAAAAGATATCTCAAGGCTGCTCAGGCCCAGGGAGTGAGGCTGTCCTGTTCGAGTAGTGCTAATTGTAGCGTCGTTGGATCAGCAAAAGAGAGGACAGATGTTGCTCCTAATAACAATCTGATACCTGACCTGATCAAGACAGGTCTGCCAAACATAGGTGCTAAGAACAGATATTCTGAACTGCTGGTGAACTACTAGATAATTTCTTAAATTCTATACCAAGTGTATCAAGGATGTTCCAGAGAGGTACCAGTAGGGGCACGTTCTTTGGGGGGGGGGGGGTCATTTTATTCTACCTACTATCTGTAATTCTTTTTAAGTATTGAAATCGTTATGTATGTATGACTCTTTTTCAGGACTTATTTGACATGCTCATGTTACCCTCCACCAGTGCAAGTTGAACTTTCGTGAACTTTGTTGATTTATCCAAAGTTTAAGTGTCAGTAACACATCATAATGCCTTTTGAAAGGAAACTGTGATTGCTTAACATTTTGATACGTTTTCTACCTCAGTCAGTTAGGTTTTTCAAATCTCAATTTTTTCACTATGATCAAAAGCTCACCTCACACATGTACGCATTAAGGTTGCAGTCTGTAGTCACTCGTGCCAGTTAGGATACTGCTTACTTTTTCTAAATGACTGTTAGTTATCATTTTGGAGTTAAATTAAATTGATATATCTCATTGTTGATGTCTTCACTGTAACTCTGCCCCCCCCCCCCCTTCACCTCTTTTGAATACTAAGTAATTTTATGTTAATGAACTCAATAATTAAGCTATTAGTTTAGGTACCAATCATACATTCATTAAATTCATATTTTAAAAGTAATTTAAAACAAATGATAAGGAAATTTTGAATTTCAAAGTAGAATTCGTAAACCATTTTAAATGCTCAATAATGCCATATTTGTATGTGAATTTGTGTGCAGAGTGCAAAGGTTGATATGACAAATGTTTGATGAGATACACTTCTTGCCATTATATTTTTATAATCAAATAAATATTAAATACTACATAACTTGTTCGGTTGGTTTCATTGAAAGTCTGTGTGAGGTGATTATCAAGTGGAAACGTCTTTTTGAACAGCTGAATATGCTCGTGAAAGAACAACGCATCACAATCGGGTGTGCAAAACACGAGTCTGTGTCACACCTATCGCAACATCGAACCCCTTGTCTTTAGGGCCAAGCAGTGCAATATCTGCCGATCTGCCATGCACAGAATTGTCAAATTTTAAGAAATGTGTGCACACAAAGCAGTCCATTTGTTCTCACAGAAAAATGTTTATTTCAATGGAATATATTTTCCTGAACGTTACTCGAGTGTCCCCAAAGGTGTAAAATTATACAGAGAAAGCTGTTGCTTGAATACTTTCCCCCTCTTTCGTTAAAACATGCGAGGGGACATAACGATTGCTTCATAAGACATATTTTAATTTTATCCGATGGTTATTCTGTTCATCTGAAAAAAAAACTATGCCAAAACGTGCAGAAATCCTAAAATTGACGCAAATTGTCACAGGTCTACTATACCAGTTTTACTAAAGGATAACAACTGTTCATTTTGATAAAAAAAAGGATTTTCCTGGGGTAAACGACGATTTTCCGATACTTAATGGTTAATGAATTCATACCGATATTCATAGTTCATCATCATTGCTCTTCGTCCCGCGTGGGACATAAGGCCACAGTCACTTCTTTCCATTTGGATATTCATAGTTATTAGTTATTTTTTATTTTATTATATTATTGTAATTATCATTTTATTTATTTATTTTATTTTATTTTTTTTTTTTTTGTAATAACCTCTAAAGAGATTATTACTGAGGTATAGCCATATTTGAAAGTCCACATGGTCTGATGACAAATCCAGACACAGAATCCAGAATAATTGCGATAACCGCTGTTTTGGTTGTAAAATTGAGTTTATTATATTCTTATGAGTTGTTTATAATGCTTTTTATGTGTGGAATATGAATCTCATACGAACATTTGCTATCCTTTTAAACGAGGAAGACATACGGCTCTTTATGGCCAAGTTCCAGTAGTATAAAATGTTTACAAGAAAGAGTGCGATACACATGAACAGAAGCCGTTTTCATTCACTTTTGAACTTTTGAATGCAAAGTAATCCAGTTAAGTGGATCGTGACTTATGTCAAAAGGGGGTGTTCAGATTTCCATGATAAGTATTTTGTGTCACAAGATGCACTTAACTCAACAGTCAACCTTCGTGTTCTTCAAGATTCTTTTTAGTCGACATTTGCAGGGTACGTTAAGACCACACGCATCCCCAGCACAAAAAAGAGAAGAGACATCCAAAACTTCCGAACAGGAAGAAATATTGCCTTCTGAAACAATACCACTTCAGTTATCAACAGACGGCATGTCCTCCAAAGTTCACAAAAACCACTGAAAGCCAAAATTGAGTGCCAAATCTAAGTCTGCTTTTGATAAATAAAATCAAGAAAAAACAACATTGTCGACTCCTCTCTTATTAATGCCCTTCGCTTTTTATTAATTTTTTCATCACTGGTTCATCTTCTGCTTTAGATGGTTTCTCACGTATTCGTGCTTGGACGTCATTTCTCATCCCCACCGTGCAATCTCGCGCGCTGTATTAGTCATGGCATACTTTGCCTGCTCGCTCACTTTTTTACAACATGTTGCGGTGATGTATATTCCAGTAGGTTTTGGGTCAGGCGATTGCCGCAGGGAAATGTTTAATGGTTTTAGCCGGGGACATTAGTTGGCAAGCATATTTGAAGTTGGGCACGTAGTCAGAACAGACTTTTTAGCATCTCTTTAATCTTCAAAGCAAAGCGTCGCAGTAAAGAAATTGCATCAATTCGTTCTCAATACGCGATAACATTCTATTTAAGCGATTTAACTTCCATATACGATATGTCAGTGATTCATGTTTCGTTTTGTGCCGGTGTTTAAAAACAACCATTCTCAGCCGCGTGAAGTACCAGGAAGGTTACTGATGTTAGCAGCTCTTCAGCTTTTCCTGATTACAAAACGATATAAATTAGTTTCCTTGACAAAACTGAGGTAATGAACAAGTAGCTGATTACTATTAGACAATCTGACAGTTAAATCGCTGTTACGTGATATACAACCAAAGGTTGTCTGTGTCAACTACGTTGCCTAGCCACGCGCTATGGAGACACAACGCATCGTCCTGTGTTGAACAGTACAATAAACAATTTTTTTTTAAATGCTGGTTATCATGCTTTGAAAAATTTTCAAATGCTTCAATGATTTTGTTTGTTAGGCCAATCATTCAGACTTTTTCTCTGCTTTGCATATTATTTTTCAAAGGGCATGCGAGGTCATTCCGACTTCACCTATATGAAACCCCAACTCTGCGACGTGTACTTCCCTGTAAAATATGTGTTAGAGATTCTATTGCATTCCTCGTTTTTATGACCAGCGACCCTCGTCCGATGTGTGATTGCCCTTTACATTCTTCCTTTATTTGATATAAGTTTGCATACAAATGGGCATTACCACTTCGTATGCAGCTCAGGCTTGACTCTGTGTTTACTATATAACATCAGTAACAAGACTAGCAAAGCGTGTGGGTACAATTTTTGCTCCAGTAGTTTTCGTGTTCGGCTGTCTTCACGCGTGCTTGGTTGTCATAAAATTTGGGAGGATTTGGACAAAGACAAGATTGAATATCACCTGTATAAAAATGCTACCCGAGTCCTCTTTTTGCAAGAACCAGACAAGCCTTTTCTATTACAAACATGGATTTATATAAATATATATTGTTCAGATCTGACTGCAACTTACAGATCGATAATTCGAAAGAAAAGATCGTTACGTTTTAAATCAGAGCAACGCGGCAATAAAATGCCAAGGTCCTTAAAGGTTGATAGGAGACATTATTTGTTCTTAAACGGCATAGATTGGGTCAATGATACTGACTAATGGTTATACATTTGTGTATATCAAAATGTGATATCCAATAATATCTACCTAGTGAAAAATATTAACACTTCCCCGGCATGATGAAAATAGGTGAATGCAATCTACTTGAAAAAAATAAGTAGTCTAAATATGTTCTCTCGCTCTCCTTCACTCTCTTATTATTTTGGCTTGGTTACACCATTTTAAGTAGTGGTAATGTGCAAGGCAATATTACATCTGTGTTCTTTTAGTCTTATCCACCTGTCACTGCTAAGTAACTGTTACTATGTGTGTGATCGCCTATGGACATCATGTAATATCATTTGTTCGTGTTATGCTATCTTATCATTGTCAATATATACGTGCTGTATTCCTTCTGTTTAATCTGGATTAATATAACATGTGTCACATGTCGATAATCATAAAATTGGCGTATCGGAGATAACCTACATTGTCATCCTCTTTCCTTGTTTAAATATGAACAGTGCATAAATAAAACAGACATAGGTGTGTCAATTGTCTATCGTACCAATCTCACAGACTGATTTCCTCTTCTGAACTGCTGCTGCCTATATTGCCGTTTACATATCGACCATAGCCAACATGACCGTTAATATCACCGTTCATTTCTCCATTCATCATGGGGCGTTGACTGTAAAACAGATCATCTTCTTCCTCTTCCTCTTTCTGAGATCCCTCCGGTCTCCAGGTGCTGATCAGAGTACCGTTGGGTGTAAACGGACCGTCCATGTCCACGGATGTCTTGTACCACCGTCTTGTGGAGTCCGGGTGCTGTGTGAACTTGGAGATGTAGGACATCTCAGGGTTCTTAGGGAACACATACACGGTGTCAGAAAACGATTTTGGTTTGATGCGAGCTTCGTAAAACACATCGCTCCTATATCTCCGCCTCGTTGAGTCAATGTAACAGGTTACCTTGTCTCTGTAGTTCACTGGGCACCACGAGGGCCCGTTTAGTTTCACGCCATTATTGAACCGTTTCTTCACGCTGATGTCACACTGTGCTGTTACCGAGAATTCGTCGTAGGCAGGGAGACTTCCTACAGAAACGCTCTCTGAATATTGCACCGCCTTCATGGTGGGACGTCGTTTTATTATCTGTCAGGTGGTATTGAACGCCTTCACTGAACACAATCCGTCCCTATCATTTAATGATGTCGCCGCTGAATGAATGGGTGTACTAGTCAATCAGTTACATAGAAGATAACCATATATTCCTGGGCGACCAGGTACCAAATCATAAATACTTTATGATTAGGACATACAGTGTATGCGACTCATTGGATTCCGCAGTTGTTTGAATTCCTAAGAGCCCTGATGTTTTTCTCCACAATCCGCATGCCTCCGTGGCTGGTTTTGTGGCGGTACACCGTTCAGGTCGAGAAGCGCTCTTTATTATGTTGATTCTGTTGGCCACAATACAAGTGGGCGTAGTCTACAAGAAATGTATTCCTTGTATTTCAGTACTCCTTGAGGTGGTGGCGGGATTAATAAAACACGTCCC